GTGGAAACAGCCAAAGGCTGCTCCTCACTGCCCTGCCTGGTAGGGCTGCTCAGAGAACTCCTGGTTCAGCATTTCACACCCATCCCTTTGCTAAGGCAGCTTCCCCTGAAAGTCCCTCTCTGATTTTGCTTTTCAGACTGATCCCAGCAGTGGCCACAATGCCATCAGCCCTGGAGAGCCCGGAGGGGGGAGAGGAAGACATTTTGCACTATGAGGAAATAGAAGATGATGCTGTCAGGTGAGTTCTGTCCTACACAATGGCACAGACACAGCCTTGGGCAAGGCAAGAGATCTTCCAGGTAAAGCAGTGATCCTCCTCATCTGAAAGAAGTGAGGGGCCCCAAGAAGTGATCAATCACATACATGTGCTGTGAAATCTTTGCAGTCAAACTGTCCTGTAAGGTTGGAAGGGATGGGAAAGGGGGATCTGGCAGGGCTGACAACAAACACTCGACCATGAAAGTCACATTTCAGAAACACTCTTGACTATTTGGCAGCTGTGTTTGTGTCTTCCTGGCCAAGGGGAGCCAGTTTTCCATGGCTTGCTGGGCAGGCTTCTTGTTTTGAAAACTGACTCTGGAGGTGAACTCTGCTCTGGTGAGCTCTTGCCTTTGCAGAGTACCCAGGTCTAGGCAAGGACATTTTCTAGGAGGTTACTTTAAAAAACACACACATGTTCTAAAAGCCAAGGCTTCAGACTTGGAAAACAGGAAGGCTGACTAGGGTGCTTTCTAGAAGATCTAGACAGGCTGGTTGACTTCTTTGACTTGACAGGCTCAGCTTCATGAGAAGTTAATGTTTGCTGGCTCTGCTGGCAAACTCAGTGGGTCTGGTGTGTTCAAAGCCTCTCTTAGAGCTGACACAAGTGTGCTAGCTGTAGCAAAGTAGTGCTAAAAACTGTGAGGTGCACTTTGGCATGATCTGTGTGTGTGTTGATACTGTACCAGTGTCCTGATGCTGTACCTGAAGGGTGGCTGTAGCCAGGTGAATGTCAGTCCCAGGCAACCACTGACACAAGGAGAGGACACAGCCTTAAGCTGCACCAGGGGAACTTTAGGTCAGACAGCTGAAAAGCTGAAAAAATTCCTCACTGCAAGAGTGATTGGGACTGGAGTTGTCTGCCCAGGGAGGTGGTGGGGTCACTGTCCCTGGATGTGTTGAAGAGCAGCCTGGACGTGGCATTCAGTGCTGTGGTTTAGGTGCTGTGGAAGTCTTAGGTCATAAGTTGGACTTGATGATCTCAAAGGTCTTTTCCAACCCAGTTCATTCTGTGATTCTCTGTCCAGATAGGTGCAGTGCCTGGAGCCTAAAATCATAGATGTTAATGTTTTGGGTCTTTTTAAAAACAAGACACCTTGTGGAAACTTGAAAAACCAGTGTAATGCAGGAGAAATAAACTTTTTAAGGGTATTCTTGCCCTGTTTTGCCATTCAGCTCTCATCTCTTCACTAACAATTGATATCCAAGTTGGGAAAGCTGAGGGACCTACCTGAGCCTTTTTTCTTCTCCAGCAGAAGATACCAAGGCCCCCACGCCCTTTAGCCTGCCCTGATGCTCCCCATATGCTCCAGGCTTCCTTGTGTAGTGTTGTTGGGCTCACATGGATGAGAAACAAAAGTCATGGTGCAAGGATCAGCAGGTCCTTGGCAGTTGCTTCAGCATCCTGGGCCAGAGCCCCTGGTAAGCCCCAGCCCTGCTGGAGTGGCAAGTCTGGTTGGCACATGGGCTGCTGCCACCCTGCTGCTTCCTCCAGCAGGTGCCAGCTCAGCCTGCAGGGTGGCCTGAGGGTCCCACCTCTACATCCTCTAAACTGGGGTGGTAGATGGTGGGGGATCCCCCCAAACACAGCAGGGACAAACTCCTTGCTGCGTGAGGCAGTGGGGTGGAAGGAGCTCTGTTTGCCTGCAGCCCCATGGACCTCTCGGAGCTGCTGAAGGAGGGCACCAAGGAATCGCACGACCGCGCGGAGAACACTCAGTTTGTCAAGGACTTCCTGAAGGGCCGCATCAAGAAGGAGCTCTTCAAGGTGGGTGTTGCCCTGCTCCCCATCTCTGATGCACCCACAGACTGAGGCAGACTCCAAGGCAGAGCCCCACAGCCTGGGGGTGCTGTGGTGGTTGGCAGGGCAGCCTTGGCTCCTTCAGGCAGTGCCTGCCTGGTACAGGCTCTCCAGGCTGGTTTTGTGCCAGGCCTGGGGGTTTGCTTTTTACCCCAGTTCCACGTAGGCAGGAGTAGTCATGAGATGAGCTGTGCCCATCTAGTGAGCAGCTTCTCACGTGAGCTGTGCTCTGTCCATAGCTGGCCACCGTGGCCCTCTACTTCACCTACTCTGCTCTGGAAGAGGAGATGGATCGCAACAAGGACAACCCACTCTTTGCTCCTCTCTATTTCCCCGTGGAGCTTCACCGGAGAGAAGCTTTGGCCAAAGACCTCAAATATTTCTATGGGGAAGAATGGAAAGAAAAGATCCAGTGTTCAGAGGCAACTCAGCAGTATGTGGACAGAATCCATCACGTGGGACAGCACGAGCCAGAGCTGCTGGTGGCTCATGCTTACACACGCTACATGGGGGACCTCTCAGGTGGCCAGGTGCTGAAGAAGGTAGCCCAGAGGGCCCTGAAGTTGCCCAGTACTGAGGAAGGGATCCAATTCTACGTGTTTGACAACATTACCAATGCACAGCAGTTCAAGCAGCTTTACAGAGCAAGAATGAATGCTCTGGACTTGGACAAGAACACCAAGGAAAGGATCGTGGAAGAGGCCAACAAAGCCTTCAGATTTAACATGCAGGTACTAAACAAATCCCTTGATGTGTAGGTGCTGCAGCTTTTAGGTCTGGCCCAGGTTAATTCAGTCACACCACTCACCCAGTCAGTGGTGTGGGGCTTGAGGGTTTGGGATTCTAGTTGAACTACCTCTTTCACTTGCTTCAGGCAAGAATTCCTCCCATGCTCCAACACCACAGCCAAGCACTTTGATTAAGGCAAAATTAATATGACTTGAAGATTCCCACAGCTGTGTGGCTGTGAAGCAGTGAGGAGAGCAGAGCTCTTGTGCCAAGACAGCCTCAAACAGTTTGAGTGTGCTGCAGCACCCTGGTGACAATTCATCTCCTGTCTCAGGTCTGACTTGTTGCCCTATGGTCAAAAATGTCTGGAGCCTCCCATAGCATTTGCCTCTCCTCAAACCTGACTGAGCTGCCATTTGCCCCAGGGGATGAACACAGATTTAGCTACTGGATGGAAGTTTTAATCTTGTGCTTGTGGCAGGTCAGTGTGATTTGAACTGGCCAGAAACATGGTGAGGTGTGGTTGGCTCCTTTGTCAGGATCCTTATGGAATGCCATGGCAGTGAGGGGCTGCCTGACCACTGCAGGATCCTCCAAGGGTCTGCAGCAGGGAGGGGAGAGCCTGTTGCCCCACACTCCCACCCACAGCAGGCTGGGAAGTGAGCAGCAGGGTGGTGCTGCCTTGCTCCTGGCTCTGACTGAATGCCCTTGGGATGGGCTGTGCCCTCCTGGAGCTGCAGCGTGTGCCAGGTGTCACCCCAGCTCTGCAGTGGGTGCCTGGAAAGGTGTCTGGGGACAGGGGAGCAGGAGTGGTGCTTGCCTGTTCCCCAGAGGATTGCAGGGGTGTGGCTGAGAGCTGCCTGCCTCATGTGCTCACTGTGACCACTTGCAGGTGTTTGATGAGCTGGACAAGATCGGCAGGTCGCTGGGAGAAGAAGCTCAAGATGGAGGCTTTCCAGTCCACGATGGGAAAGGAGACATCCGCAAATGCCCTTACTATGCAGACAAACTGGGTAGGTGGTGGCAATGAGGGGGCTGCCACGGGGGTGTGGCACAGGAGGGCAGGGCTAACGGTGCTTTCTGTGTCCTGCAGGCACAGCAAGCCCTGGCTGCCCCTTCCACGCTGCCCTGGGCCTGGCCAGGCAGCCCCTGGTGCAGCTGGTGCTGGCAGCCTGCATGGCCGTGGCAGCGGGAGCTGCAGCCTGGTACATCCTGTGATGGGCACCATGTGGCTCTGCTGGGGGCAAGGGGAGATGTGCCCTGCCTGCTTTCCAGCCTTTCCCTTGCTGGTGGTGAGTTGGCTGCAGAGTGGAGTAAGGAAATAAACAGGAATCCTGTGGGACTGTCCAAACCTCCTTGCACACCACTGTAACGTTCTTTAGCTGACTAGTGCACGGGACTGGTCAGTGCCAGGGGGTGAGGGCTCCACTGCAGCACTGCCCTGCCCAGGCTGGGGCAGCTTTTAAGGCTAGAGATGTCCTGTCCTGTCCTGGCAAAGGCTTCACGTGCTTGGCTTTCCATCTCCATCCCCGAAGCAGTGTCTGGAGGGGGTTTCCTGCCCTGAGTTGCATATGCAGAATGTGTCATCAGCCTTTCAAACAACGAGCATTTGCTTTCCTGCCCTGAGAAGCTGAGGCTGTGTCATGGGGCTGTTAGCTCAGAGGAGTGTCCTGTTTGGTGCAGTGTCTGAGGAACCAAGTCTGACTCCTGTTGGAGGGAGCTCCCTGGGGATGGGGGCAGGACCATGGTGGAGTACAGAGGTGACAGATGTGTATTGTGCAACTTGAGGGTTGGTCGTTGGTTATTTTTTCTGAAGCCTTGACTGGAATAAAAAATTGCAATGTTGTAGCTGAGGAAGCCAAAAGCACATCATTGTGAGAATGGGGAGGCTGGGGAGGGGGCTAAGGTGGAAAAGGGAGGGCCATCCCAGACTGTTTCACTTGTCTGTGACTCATGCACTCCCTGAGACACCTGCCCTGGCACCCCACTGTCCCTGCTATTTCCCCTGGGGTTTCCATGTGGGGAAGCTCATTGCCCTCTGAGGACACAGCCAGGGGCTGTCAGGGCTTGGGGCTTTCCTGTGTGGAGGGGCTCCTGGTAGGGTAGGGAAGCTGCTGCTCTTCCTCCCGTGCTTGCCCCACCCTGCCCTCATCCTCAGCTCCCCTGGAGGCAGATCTCCTGTGAGCAGGAGAGAAGAAAAGATGCACACGAGCCCAGGGTCTGTTATTTATTTACATAAAAACACTGACTAGTGCCACAGTTCCACCCCTGAGCAAACAGCAGCTGCCTGTGCAGGCCAGGCTGTGTTTGCAGACCTGTGTACTGAGAGACCCCCCCACTTTGCTCTGGGAGCTGCAGGGGCAGGGGAGGGAGGAGCAGCCCCGAGGGGCTGAACTTGGCTCCCGGCTCCTTTGGCCCCTGCTGTGGAGTGCTGCTGGCAGCTCCTGGGGCTGCCTGCTTGCCCCTTCCTTCTGCCTCAGGTGAGTGAGCTAAAACCCCTACACCACATGCAAGGAGGGCCCCACAGACCCTGCCGGGCCCAGGACGGCTCTGGAGCTGCAGCCTGGTAACAAACTCCTCTACTCTACGTGCCGGGCAGCCAGGACATGCTGGGAGTGGTTTCGGCTCTCAGGGGCCAGGGCTGCTCGGGGCTGTCCCTGCCCCAGGGCTGTCCCTGCCCCGGAGCCGCGGGGCTGGAGGAGGCGCATGCAGCTGGAGCGGCCGCCGGGCAGGGCAGGGCAGGACGGAGGTGCTGATAAGGGGAGGGCACAGCGCTGCTGCCGGGCCCTCTGTGCTTAGAGGCTCTGCCTCCCCTCGGGAAGGGGCTTTGCCGGGGCTGCAGGGGGCTGTGAACCACACGGAAGCCTGGTGTGTGGCACTGCCCTGTCTCCTTGTCACTGAACCCCTTCCTGAAAGTGCCACAAAGGCTGTGCTGCATCCCGAGGGCACCATGGGCTGTTTGGGTCCCCTCCTGGGCCCCCATCCCAGCACATCCCCTGCACTGTGGGACTGGGCTGGGCACCTCCAGCAGCTGCTGCTCTTCCCAGGGTTGCTCCAGGTGAGAGGGGCCTCGTTCACACCCTGGAGTGTGATGGGGTGCAGGGCGATGCCCCCCACTCCTGTGCACCGCAGGGCAGCCCCCGCACAGCGTCCGGGGGCTGGGCCCCCCTCCCCTGTGCCTCTGTCACCAATCCAACTATTCCCAGTGAGGAGCAGAGCTGGGGGCGCGGGAGGGAGCCGGGGATAACACATACACACCACCGGCGGGAAGCGAGGGCGATGCACGCGCGGGGACGGACGGACGGACTGACTGACGGACGGGCGGCAGCGGGGCGGGGCCGGCGGCGCTCCAGCGGCTCCCGGGTGCCGCTAGCACATGCGCTTGTACGTGTAGATGTAGGCCTTGCAGTTGGGACACGTGTGTGTCACGTCCTTGAAGTCATCGAACAGGCAGGGGATCAGGCAGCAGCAGAGATCACACCTGGAGCACGGGGAGAGGCAGAGATGCTGAGCTGGGCAGCCCCTGGCCATGGGGGTCTCTGGGCCATGGGCAAGAGATGTAATTGTAGGGGCTGTGACCCCAGGAACCCCTCTGCTGCTCCACTGCCACCTCTGTGCCAAGGTCCCCAACATGCCCAACAGCTCAGCCAAGGCCACCAGCACTGGGGCTACCCAGGAGCAGGCTGAGCAGCCAAGACGAGGCCCCAGCTCTGCCTGCAGCACCTACCCCACGAAGCAGCAGAAGAAGCCAAGAAGGAAGCTCATGAGCCCAATCTCGTAGGAGATCTTGGTGGTGATGGCTTGCTGGCAGTGGGGACACACCGTCTGCACGGGGGCACCCTGGAAGATCTCTCCCTGCAGCACTGTGACCGTGGTGGCGGCTCCCGGTGGCACCAGCACTGTGGCCGTGTGGCCACCAGGAGAGGGGTAGGGGCCTGGGCCAGGGTAGTAGCCCATGGAGGGGTGAGGGCCTGGGGGTGGGTAGTATCCTGCTGTGAATGACAAACACAAACAAGTGAGCACCTTTGTATTGGCAGGAGAGCCCAGATCCTTACTGGGGTGACCCTCACCCTGGTACACCACCACCCTCTGAGTACAGACCTGGGGCCAGCCCTGCTGCAGGCACTGTGCCCCCACCCCATCCCAAGGAACCTCACTGCAAGCTCCAAATGGCAGCCCCAACCCCCACCTGTGTCCCCCCCTGTGCTGCTGCTGCCAACCCCCAGCCTGTCCCAGCCCCTTGCAGGACTCACCTGGTGGCACGTAGGGCCCAGAGCCATCCGTGGGCATGTGGGGGGGTATGAACCCCGGCTGTGAGGGTGGCTCATATGGGGGGGGTCCGAACTCAGGAGGGGGGATAGGAACCCCCTGGGGCTGTCCCACCACTGGGGTGACACCCTCTGAAAGGAAACACAGTCAGCAGCCAAGGAGGCAGTAGAACTGAGGGGAAGATGGTGTCCTGGCCATGTGCTCAGGGTGTCAACCCCAACAGGGAAGGGAGACAAGAGGTGGGGGGGGAAACCCCTTAAGCTGCATCCTCTGGGCCACAAGAAACCCAAATTCACCCCACAGCAGGGAGCAGTGCCAGGCTTTGAGCTGGGAGTGCTTCCTGCTCTCCCCTGGGACCCCCTCCTGCCTCCCCCGAGGGTGACACGGGACAGAGCCAGGCATTGCACCACCCTCCCCCGCGTGCTGTGAGGAGAGGCAGTGCCAGGGACCCCACACTCCCTGTGTGCTGTGTGTGGCCATGTCCCCCAGTACCTGGAGCAGAGGGGGGGCCGTGCTTCTCCTCTATCAGCGGCGCCGAGGGGCCCCCCGGGTAGGGCGGGGGGGGGTCGCTGGACATTGCTCCAGGCAGCCCTGCAGGGACAGAAGCCTTTGGGTGACACCAGCCCTTGGTGCCACAGGCCATGGAGCTGGCGTGGGGTTTGGGATGGAGGTGACAGGTAAAGGAGGAGGCCAGGGCTGGTGCCACGCCTGCACCAGCCTCAGCTTCCCCCCAAGACAGAACCAGGGGTCTGGCCCCAAAGCTGGACAGGATCTGACCAGGCAGCAACTCCAAGGTGTGAAATCTTCCTGCCAGCTGCATGGGGCTTCCCTGCAAAGCCAACCTGGAGCACAGCAGCTCATCAGGGCAGCTCTGGACTGCGTGGCCACGCTCCAGGGCAGTGCTGGGCTGGAATGTGCTGTGCAAGACCTGGCTGCATCCCTGGGGTACCAAAGGTGAGGAAGAGCTGCCCACAGCCCCCCACCTCCACCCTGAGTGACACAATGCTGCACCCTGAGGGATGGAAGGACCCCTGCCCTGGGCCTGAAGCACACACTCTGGGACAGAGGGTGCAAACCCACAGAGCATTTCTAAATAAATCTCTAAATAAATCTCTAAATAAATCCAGTGGATTAAGGTAAGACCATATTTAACAGCTGGAGATGTTATTTTACATGGGGTAGAATTTACCTGTCCTCTTCCCTGCAGCTCAGAGGTCTTGACAGCTGGGAGAAGCAGCTCCTCTGAGCAGTGCAGTTTGGAAGGTGACTTCTTCCACTGGGTCTGTGCAAAAGGACACAGCAAGTGAATTACAGAGATGGAGAGGAGGCACAGCTGCAGCATTGTCCTGGCTGCCACACCAAACCCTTCTCTCCCCCAGGCAGGAGCCTCCCCACTGGCATGCTCTGAGATCCAAGAAGTGCAACAACATCGAGAAACCCGATTTCCCCATTTCCAGTGGCTCAGTTATGGCTGGGAGGATGTGACTAAATTGGGAAATACAAGTGAGAGGCTGCTCACTCAGTGCTTGGGACAGGGTGACATTGCTGTCAGAGCCCAGGGAGCAGTGCTGGCAGCTCCATCCTTCACCCCAAGGGGCCAGGAGCAAATGTGACCCTGCTTGTCCCGTTTGCTGGCACCAGAGCCACGTGCTGGGCAGGCAGCCCAGAGCACGCCAACCTCCCCAGCATGGCACAGCCTGCACAGGCACCAGGCCAGGCAGCCAGTGCTTCCCCAGCCCTGCATTGCAGTTGTGCCCAGAGGTGCCCGTGGGGCTCAGCCACCTCCACCTGCAGCTGCCAGGTCAAGCAGAGTCAGCCTTGGCAAGCAAGGCAGGAAGGCCCATCCCTCCCTCACCTGCATGACTTTGCTTTATTTCACTCTTTTTTTCCCAGTTCACACCCCCTGCCACCCAGCAGCCTCCTGCAAGGTAGCAGGAAATTTAATCAGTCCCTGGAGGAGCACCAGCGCCTGTTGCTGCTCACAGAGGAGCACACTGATCCCCCCAGGAGCTGAGCAGATTCCTGACAGGCACAAGGTCTCCCCCACGTTTCCTGATTAGAATTTCTCTCCCGAGGTCTGGAGCTGCAGCCACACAGCTTCAAAGAGTAACACCAGGGCAGCTGGGGGTCATCTTCCTCCTGCTTCTCACTCCAGTGTCTTCCTTAAGAGCACAGGGAAGCAGAGTTGCCATGGCACAGAGCATTTCCAGGCACACTGCAGAGCCTGCCTTCTCCTTCAGTGACCTACAAAGCTCAAACTGGGCTGTGCTCCTTTTAGCTCAGTGGGGATGTGAAGAAAAGGAGGATTTATTCTTCTCAAAGTAGCCAACCCTGCACATCCAGGAGCCTCAGACCTTGCTGTGCCATGCCTGCAGGGGTTCTGGACGAGCCCAGCCCAACCAGAGCATCCCAGAGTCCTCACCTGGGGACACCTCCCTGCCTGAGGGAGTTTTCCTTCCCTCACAGGCCAACTGTGCCCAAAGCTTTTCTAACACAATAGCTCTCCTCCCATTCCCACTCAGATGCTGCTTTCCCATAATCATCTTTCAACACTCCCCAGCCTCATTCCCCCCATCAAAGCAGCTGGCAAGAGGAGGCAGGAGAGGAGGAGTCCTCCACCAACACCCTCAGATGAAGCAAGAGCCCCGGGGTGAGGCAGGCACGAATGCTGCCACCCTGCCCAGGAGGGACTGGCAGCCACGAGGTGCCAGCCCTGCTCCGGAGCCACACGTGCCCTGGGATGAGGGAAGCTCTGGGATGCAGGGCTCCTCTGCTCCTACTTGGCAGGCTCAGTTGCTCCTAATGCAATATTCTGCTTATTAAGAGAGATCTGTAAAGAGCAAGATGTTGGCTGTGTGCCCTTCCCAGGAGGAAAAGAAAGCCTGTTGCTTTTAAGCCTCTTAGAAGCTGTTTCTCTCCTGTGCATTCTTTCATCTTAACGTGAGCAGCACAAAATCCAGCCCATCTCTGACAGAGAGCTCTGTGGGATACCAGAGGGCACTCAGCTCCCCCTTGGCACTGAGCTGCCCCAGAGCACCCCCCACCACCCTGGCACTGACAGCCCTGCAGTATTCCACAATTACCAGGTTTGAGCTCAAGATCTGATGGAATCACCAATGTCTTGTGCAGGTCCTTTGGAGCAGGGACACACTGCAAGATCCTGAGACTCAAAAGGAGCTGGTTATCATAGCAGGATGGAGAGAGGAGATGCTATTTCCAGCTCCAAATGCAGATTAGCTCTTCTCAACTGGAAGAACAGCTTTTACTGGTTTCCTCTGCAAACTAACTACAGAGGATAAATCCAGTATGGAACTAGAATAATCACAATCAGTTAAACACAGAACACAAGGAAAGGACCCCCATGTCCCCCAGGGAATTGGTATTTGCCAAAGAAAATGAAAAAATAAATATTCCCATTAACCTGCTGGGGCACAGCAGTGTGACAGCCAGCCAGGACAGCACAGCTCCATCACAGCCTCCCCACAGAAAGGGCTTGGCCCACCCTGGCTCTGGCCTCAATCCGTGTGTCCTGCCCTGGCTCTCTGCTCCCTGACCTCCTTCCAGGCAGCTTTTGGGTGAGAAGATGGCAACAGATTTCTGTGTCCCCAGTTCAGATCAGAGGTGTAACCCTCAGCCCCAAGAGGTTTGTCTGAGGTTTCTCACACAGCTGAAGCACTGTGGGGCAGCAGCCAGCCCTGCCTGTAGAAACACAACAATGCTGTCTAACCCACCTCTTCCTGTGCTCAGCAGCCCCCATCCAGCTGATGAGGGATTGCAGAATCCCAGAATGGTTTGGTGTGAAAGGACCTTAAAGTCCATCTCATTGCAGCATCCTGCCATGGCAGGGACACCTTCCACTGTCCCAGGCTGCTCCAAGCCCTGCCCAGCCTGACCTTGGACATTTCCAGGGATCCAGGGGCAGCCACAGCTGCTCTGGGCACCCTGTGCCAGGGCCTCACCCTCACAGGGAAGAATTTCTTCCCACTCTCCAATCTAACCCTCCCTCTGTCAGGGTGAAGCCATATCCCCTTGTCCTGTCATTCCAGGCCCTTGTCCAGAGGTCATGGATCAATGTCCCAAAGCCCCTGGTTCCCGTTGCTGACATGTTCACAACTGACACAAAGCAACTTCCAGCAGTGAAGAGAGGAGCTGATGTGTCAGGGTCCAGCATCCCACACTGGCTGTACTTCCCTCTGTTACATCACTGCAGAAACTGTTTGGGATTCAAACATGGCAAGAGGAAAGGTCTGCACATCCCACCTGCTTTCCAAACAGATAAGGTGGGCACCACTCATCAAAAACAACTGATGTGCAGCAGGACCAGGGAATACTGTGCCACCAGAACAGGTCCTAACACCATAAACCAGATAGTCACAAAGAGGATGGGCACAGATAATTCAGATTTGGTCTGCTAATGCCATTCTTCCCCAGCAGCAGCTGTCTGTGCTTCAAGCTGCCTCCTCACAGATGAAATCTCCACGGGTGAGACAAACCTGGCAAAGGCAGAGCAGATGCTGGCAGGTCCAACTCACGTGTGAGCCCTGATGGTGCAGTGCTGGCCCCAGCAGCTCTGAGTCAGCCTCACAGCACCACTGAGATCCATCCCACAGCTGAAGCAGCCGTGCTGTCCTTGCTCCTGCTGCACTCAGAACTGCACAGCAATTCAGCTCTGCTTCCTCATGGGAGCACTGGCTCCAGCCACTGAGACAGGAAGCAGCATTTGTTCATACTCAGCCACGTTCAGTGACGTTGACACTTCAAAAGCTGCTGCTGCACATTTTTGGAGCTCTTACTCCATAAAAAAAAATAAAATCTGATATTTGAAAAAGGAAAAAAAAACCACACTAAAATTCAATGAATAAATAAGAGAAAATACATGAGCACTTTCAGCTTCACTGCAGATCAAAGAGATGCAGATTCCAGCTTCCAGGCTTGTGGAAATACAGCTTTAAAAGCCAAGAGTCCTGAAGATGCTGGGCCCTCATTGAGCCCAGCACCTTTCCTTTAGAAATAGGAACAGCATTGTGGCCAACACCATCCCAGTTTTCCTGACCCCAGGAATGACACCTGTGTGCCCCAGGTTACGTGCTCCAGAAACTGAGAAATACTGGGACTAGGAAGGCACAAAAGGCCAGTCAGAGGGTGGTAAAATGTCATTTGAGCCAAAGTCTGTTACTCTTCAAAAGGAGCTTTAGGGGCAGCAAGGAGGGAGAACCGAGCAGGGTGTGTTGGGGGGACAGAGCCATACCCTGATTGTGACAATCCCAATCTCAATCACCCTCCTACACAATGGCATTTCTGAATGGCACTGCCAAACCCAGCCTGGAGCTGCATGTTCCTGTGGTACACTTGAGCCTGCAGCTCACAGGCTTTGCCCTCTCTGTGCTGTGCCCAGGGCTCACAGGCTTTGCCCTCAGCCTGCGCTGTGCCCAGGGCTCACAGGCTTTGCCCTCAGCCTGCGCTGTGCCCAGGGCTCACAGGCTTTGCCCTCAGCCTGCGCTGTGCCCAGGGCTCACAGGCTTTGCCCTCAGCCTGCGCTGTGCCCAGGGCTCACAGGCTTTGCCCTCAGCCTGCGCTGTGCCCAGGGCTCACAGGCTTTGCCCTCAGCCTGCGCTGTGCCCAGGGCTCACAGGCTTTGCCCTCAGCCTGCGCTGTGCCCAGGGCTCACAGGCTTTGCCCTCAGCCTGCGCTGTGCCCAGGGCTCACAGGCTTTGCCCTCAGCCTGCGCTGTGCCCAGGGCTCACAGGCTTTGCCCTCAGCCTGCGCTGTGCCCAGGGCTCACAGGCTTTGCCCTCAGCCTGCGCTGTGCCCAGGGCTCACAGGCTTTGCCCTCAGCCTGCGCTGTGCCCAGGGCTCACAGGCTTTGCCCTCAGCCTGCGCTGTGCCCAGGGCTCACAGGCTTTGCCCTCAGCCTGCGCTGTGCCCAGGGCTCACAGGCTTTGCCCTCAGCCTGCGCTGTGCCCAGGGCTCACAGGCTTTGCCCTCAGCCTGCGCTGTGCCCAGGGCTCACAGGCTTTGCCCTCAGCCTGCGCTGTGCCCAGGGCTCACAGGCTTTGCCCTCAGCCTGCGCTGTGCCCAGGGCTCACAGGCTTTGCCCTCAGCCTGCGCTGTGCCCAGGGCTCACAGGCTTTGCCCTCAGCCTGCGCTGTGCCCAGGGCTCACAGGCTTTGCCCTCAGCCTGCGCTGTGCCCAGGGCTCACAGGCTTTGCCCTCAGCCTGCGCTGTGCCCAGGGCTCACAGGCTTTGCCCTCAGCCTGCGCTGTGCCCAGGGCTCACAGGCTTTGCCCTCAGCCTGCGCTGTGCCCAGGGCTCACAGGCTTTGCCTGCTGGCACAGTGTGCAGGGATGTGGCTCTGCTCCCACCACGCGCAATCCCACCGGACAGCTCTTACCTCCAAAGGAAAGGCAGCACAAATCTCTGCTGAACAAGCACTATCAGTGGTTATTTCTGCCTGGTTTTTATGCAGAACAAAAAGATGTTTTCCATGCAAACAAGGCGAAGCTCCCCCCTCAGCTTTGCCTCTTCCCATGCGCATTTGCTGCCCTCAGCCTGCACAGCACCTCCCCAGAACCAGGAGGGGAGGAATAAACAGCACAGAGAGCTCCTTCAGAGAGAAGGATGTCCTGGCAATGCCTGACCATGTACCCGCTCCTTTAGCTGCCGTTAACCTTGGCAGCACCTCCTCAACTCCTCATCCTGCTCTCGGCCAAGGCAGCAAGAGGGCGCATGTCTGCAACGCTCTGCAAGGTGCCGATGGAAACGGAAACCCAAGTGAAGGACTCAAGGAAAGGTCTGTTCTTTTTCTGAGCAACTCAGCTGCGTTTTCCCAAGTCCAAGTCACTGCCAGGGAGCACAAACCCACTGTTCAAGAACAGCCAAGCTGCTCCCAGAACAGCAGATTTCTTCCACACTTCTGCACTAAGATTTCAGCTGCAGAAAACAGCTTCTTCCAGGAGGGTCAGGCTGTTCCTTCAGTGCAGGCACAGAAAGCTCAGCTGGCAAGGCAGGCCAGCAGCTCTCCTTTAAAACGAAGCAATGCTGGAGAAGAAGGTTTCTCATCATTTGAACCAGGTATGTCAGACAGCCAAAGCTCCCTGCTCTGCTCTCCAGTACGTGAATCTCCGGAGGAGTTTCCCCATCGCAGTCGTTTACCTGGGGACCTTGCACGTCTCGTTTGACCTTCTGTGTGCCACCATCAGCCAGCAGATAAATCACCTCAGAGCAGGATCCTCGCTGGCAGCCAGGTGCTGTATCCAAAGCAAGATTTCTCAGGGCATTAAATCCAAAGCACAAGCAGATAATCTCCACAGCGCAGCCCCGGCTCAGCTGTCCTTGGCCGGAGATTCAAATCACCACTTCCAGCAGCTCCTCCGCATGGATATCAGGAAAACCAGACACAAAACCCTCCTGCTTAAAACAAGGAGGCTTCATCTGCAACTCCCACAAAGGGTTACACAGGAGGAGCGCCTGCAGGACCTGCTGCTGCCTCTGGGATTCTCTCCAGTGCTGTTCCCTCCGGATGGGCTGACCAAGCGCTCTTGGCTCTTCACACGGGGCTGCAGAAACAGCCTTGCCAGGACCTGCTTAACCTGAATATTCAGAGAAAAGCCAGCCCAAATGAAAAGAACAAACTGGGGTAGCTCGTTCTCTCTGCTGTTGGCTCCCGAGACGTGGCACACGGCTGTGGGAAGCATCATGTGCTGGGAAGAGCTCACGGTGACATCCAGGAGCCAGGAGGGGCTGCAAGGGAGAAGGGCTCACAACCCCACACTTCACTGGACCCCAGCTCTTCCACGTGTCAGGACAATGGGGAAAGTTGAGGTGTAGACAGAGCACTCTGCACCACCAGGGCAGCTGAATTTGGCCCCCAAAAGCCAGTTTTGTGAACACAGAGCAAGCAGGGAGCATACTGCAGCCACTGTCCCACTCAGGATGTGCTCGCTGCTCAGACCCTTCCAGCAGGTGTCCTGGCTGCACGGGAGAAGACAGGCTGCAAAACACCAGGTGTGCTCATGGATGTGATTAAAGTAACCTTAAAGATAAAACTGAGCTCCTCTGCATCCTGCCAATGTGCTCCAGAGAGATGAGAAAAGGAGGGTGCTGCAAGCCAAATCCCTGGGGAAGCAGAGAGCTTTTCCATGAGACTTTCACTGCAGTTCACAAAGAATCCAAGCTAACACTTGATAACATCCATGGGAAAGCATCCAGTGATAGCAGCAGCTGTTGCCTCCAGTCCTCTGTATCTACTTAATTTCCCCCCTGAGAGGATACATCCTGCATTACATCATCCCTTTGATATCTGTTAATAATGGTGATATAACACAACCTGCCAGAATCTCAAGCAACTAAATCCAAAACAGTGTGTTTTAATGTAGCATGAAACACAACTGTGCCACAAGAATAGCTGTTCATTTAAACAAGCAAACAAAAATACCCCAGCTCAAGAGGCTTAACAGCAAGCAGAAGCCTCGGGAGGTCGGGACAAGATCCACAGCTCTTAAGCACAGTCACAGATCCCAGCTCACCTCTGACAGCAGCCCAGAACAGAGGCTTAAGGATGAGTTAGGAAGGGATCAAAGGCAGAACTGTTAGTCCCTCCCACTCCCAGCACTCATGGTTTTGGAGACTGGGCAGCCTGGAGGTTCTCCATGGAGCACCCCAGGTCATTCCCAGGCACCAAGTACTGCTCTTCAGTTACCTACACAAAAAAGCATCTCCTGCTGTCAGCATCTGCTGCCTCCCATTTGGGGGAGACCAGCACAGAGAAGGTGAATATACAATGAGTACCCACTATATCTCACAGCAAACCCCAGGGTTTTATTTCTTTAAACACTCACTCTTTCATTTCTGCCTCCTATAGAATTTTTTGAGAGAAAGTCAAATAACACAGCTACATCATTGCTGAATCAAACTGAGTATGTGTGACGTCCATTAAATGACACAGTGAGCTCTGAGGGAGGAGGCAATTAGAATCAGAGCTGATCAGCAGTTTTGCATTTCGGTTTCAGAATTAATCAGAGCTTGAGAGCGTATTCAGAATTCCCTTGCAGATTTTGCAACACAATGAAATAATTTTGAATACATTGGTGGTGATTCCAGACCCATTTTCAAGTGCTGTACAGAACACATGCCATGGCAGTGATGTTTCCTCACCCGAGGAGAGCAGCAGCTTGCTGTAGCACTGGCTCCAGTCTCCAGCATGAGCATTTCCCATGCTCACAGGTCCCCCTGCCTCAGCGCCAGAGAAGCTGCTGACACTCAGATTTAACTGGTACAATGTCACCTTGCACTTTTTTTGAGGACAAGTGCGAAGTGCTCTGTGTCACTCAATTTTATGTAAGGCCAAGGCTCACTCTTTGCAAAGGAGTGTGGTTTGGGGCTCAGCAGGACTGTGTGTGTAAGGTCTGAGATCCCTCCTGAGTCCCACTGCCAGCAAGCAGCATCCACACACATCCCAAGGTGTGCACTGGAGGAACTCTTCCATGCTGAGGCCATCTGTGTTACCACACTCACTTTCTGGCTCCCACAGAACTTCCTAGTTCCAGACTGGGACCTCTCCTGGAGTTGCCCAGGGCCACCAGCAAGGGGCTGGGTTGTCCCATGGCACTTGGACAGGAGGAGGGTACCTGGCACTGCCCTGCTCCCAAGCCCAACTCATTTGGGCTGCTCAAAGACAGATGATGATGCCCCAGAGGGGAAAACCCTTGGATTAATCAACAGCCACTGAGTGTGCCCAGTGCTGGGCACCTTCGAGTTACACAGAGCTCCTGCCAGTCCCAGTTCTTCCTGCAGTTCCACCTGACCTGGCTAGTCCACATTGACTTCCAGGTCCAGTAAAGTAATTTTCACTCCAGGCATGACTGTGGTTTCAATTTGCAGCACCAGTTTCTGCCAACTCCTTCATAACCCCTTCCCCAAAGCTCCTACTGAAAACCTAGGACAGAGCTGGACTCCAAGCAGCCCTAACACACAGAACAGCCCTCCCCAGGTCCCAGCTTGGGGCTCTTCCAAGCCCTTTCTCTGTCACAGCAACACCTCACTGCCTTGCTGCTCCACGGAAAGCATCTCTGGTCAGGGTCTGGAGCAGTCCCGAGGCAGGGGCACTGCTCCCCCAGCACAGGATGGCACAGGGAACATTCAAGCCCATAATAGCAGGATGCCCTCAGGGCAGGTAAACAGCTCAGCTGCTCAAATCCTCTCCTGAGCTGAGGGAGACAGAGCAGCTGCCACAGTTACGACACTAAACCGGCTGGGAACTGTTTTCTCTCACATCAGAGCAGCTCAGCAGGCAGCTCCAAATTGAGCTCCCACCACGCTAAACCATCCCGAATCGTGGCAAGGAGAGGCTGAAAGGCTAAATTAAATTAACACCCCCTGTGGCAGCCACGAACTCTGGGGGAAACCTCTGCTCCCAAAACACAAATATGCTCCAGATGACACCTCTGTGGACGACCTGCAACAAGGCCAGGGAAGAGCTGATATTTAACACCAGGAAAGGGTCTCTATTCCCTGCTTGCTCACAGCCTCCGTGAAGATTTTGGAGGAGCTGAGTGGTCCCAGTAGCACAGGTGGGAAGGACAAGCTGAGGCTTCAGCACAGGCCCAGCCTCCTGCGAGCACTCCCTGATCCAGCACAGAGCAGAATAAAAGCATTTAGTTAATTAGGAGACAAACCAAAGATGCCTCCAAGAAAAGGGCAGCATGCACACACCAGCAGCAGCTTTTTATCCAGTGCTCAGCTAAAAACACAAGCCCAGAAGAGTGGGCAGCAGCCAAAATCCCATCCCCACTGCACTCCTCTACTCCATATTCCAGGCTTTATCCTCCCCTCCAACACATGGATCCAGGTCCCCTTCTGCCATGAGCTGGGTGACTGGCACCCCTGAGGACCTCAAGAGCATCCCAGGTTGGAGTCACTGCAGCAGGGTACAGCTTTGGCTCTCATCCATGACTTCCTCCCAGAATGGAGCTGCACTGCATCCCATGGGTTCCTTTCCCTCATTTTAAAAGAAAATGCTTTAAAATTAAATGCTTTTAAAGGAAATGCTTCTCATTTGGAGAATAATCAATAAAATCTAACAGGCTGCTTTTCATTCATCCCCAGCCAGAAATGTAATCTCCTGTTAACAGCAAGCCCTGAACACATCATTTATCTGCTGTGGGTACCAGCACGGGCAGATTTTACAGCTGGAGAGAGTGGGGCTGCCTGCATCACAACGACTAATTTATTCTCAGAAAGGCTAATTTAATCTGGCAGTGAATGTTCTCAAAGCCTCCTCACACAGAGCAGCTTTTCTCTTGGTTGGCTTAACAACAATACAGCATATCCAAAAACGTGGAGGGATGCTAAGGAAGAACACTGCCCCTGTGTTCTGAGCCCTCTAGTCTGAGAAATTTCTCTTGGTAACTACAGGCTTTGAGAAAACATAGAGTCCTTCTGGTTTTTCAAAAAGCCAACTGAATTTTCAAGGCAAATATACAACAGTTTAGGCTATTTCCCCCTCACATACAACTGTGGCTTGACAGAAAGAGCTGGGCTCTTAACAAAACTAAAACCCAGCAGAGGTTGTTCAGTATTAGACAACTCATTCAATCCCAACTGCACATCAAGAGCAGCAGCCAGCACACCTGGCCTGGGGGTGCTCCCTGCCACAGCAGGTGACTTTCCCCAGCCCACACTACAGAGGAATAAACTTCAGAACAAACCCAAAAGCTTTTTGTTTAAAAAGGCTGGGTAACTGCACCATGAAGTGCTTCAGAAAGAGCATCCTTCAGCTTCCTGGCCTCTGCCATCTGCAGGGGGGCAATAAATAAGCCATCAGAAGGGGTTTTTTTCAATGTTTTTAAATTCCAGGTGATACTTTCCCTTTACTTGTGACAGTACACACAAAGGCAGCGTGTACCCACAGCCAGGCTGAGCCACCTGACCCTCCATGGACGTGGCACCACGTGCTGGTCCTCACCTGGATCTACCCCTTGCCCAGGAGATCACTGGAGAGCCAAGCACAGCTCCTTGGAGTCAGAGGGGCTACAGCAAGGCAGACTGAAGCTTTACACCAGACAGAGCTGCAGCAGTCCAACCCTCCATGCTCAGGAGTGTCCCCACCATCCTGCTGGGAAAGAAAAGCTGCTGC